GTTTACCTAAAAAAAAAGACTTTTCAAGAAGCGCAACACAAAAATGAGTGATCACAAACTCCACTAAAAACGCAAGTGAGAGGAGATATTTGCGGAGGAAACAGCGGGAAAGGGAGTGGGTATAAAACTGGTGGCTCGTTCGGTGGCTGCTGCATTATTCTGACCACATGGGTCCATGCGCACTTTGTCTCTGTATAGTCATCGAGGATGTTTTTTTATCTATCTCACTTCTGTTTTTTTTTTTGTTCAACTATCTCACTAATTCTGATTATTGATTTGTTACATACTGAGGAAAAATCTTTTTTTGTTTCATTCTTAATATACACGTAAAACCAAAAACTGTCATCTCTCTACAGTTTCTCACTCACATGGAGAGGAAAAAAACAAGAACATACGTCCACCTTACACTAATGAGACGACGATGTGTCGCTTACTCTACACATATTAATTACATTATCAATTTACCGAAATGAACCGAACCGATACTATGTGTATATCACATGAGTACAGAAAAAGGATGAATTATGAAACAAAAATTAAATATAGTTATAGTAATCCAAATAAGTTACGTCTAGTGACAAAGCAAGATGTGAACGTAGTGGTCCAAGTAAAATTTCCTGTAAAATTAGGTTTTAAGAACTATTACTCCAAAACCTTTTTTTACGTTATAGTGAAATATTGAACTCTTGATGCTTCTTACATACGTGTAACATACGTTATGAAAAGTTTTTTTTTTTTTAAACATACCTTTAAGATTTTTTCATTTCGCTTTAATAAAAAATTACAAAGACAAAACAATACGTAGGATTTACTTCTCTTTGACTGAAGTGTAAAGAGGTACACTTTTTAACCACTAGATAGGAAAAAATCTCGACCTCGGGATCTTCATTAAGACTAATGAGATTTATTGATGATGATAATAATGACGACAATAATGATAAATTGCTTTTCTCTCCCAATTAAGAGTTTGGGAATAAATCAGTCAACTCAAAATCTAACACGCGCGAGACAAAAACCCGACCCGTGACCCGACCAAATCATAAGCGACCCGGTAGCCTTGTTGCTGTATGTTTCCAATTATCGACAAACTCCCCATAGTTCCGGCGAACGCAAAACAGAACCGTCCTTGAGTGTTCACCGGAATCAGATAATTACTCGCCGGAAGCGAAACCTCTCCGCCTCCGAAATGAAACACAACCGTCGGAACTTTCACCGTCGTCATTCCGGTAAGATCGTAACACGTGTCGAACAGAGAATACGAGGGAGCACGTTTTAGCTTCGCCGCTCCCAAACGAAACGCGTCTCTAAGCGCCACGTAAGCAGATTGCGTCAGCCTCGTAACCGAAGTACCGGAATCGATGATAACTCCGCCGTTCCCGGCGGCGTCAAGCTTAAACTGCGATTCCGAAACGCCGGGAACGCGCGATCCGCCAACGCTGATTCCAAGTAGCTGCAAATAGTAAAACGTGTCGAGTTTCGGATTCGTCACTAACGGCGTGAAAACGGCGGTTTTCGGAACGGCGTCGTTTCCGAATACGATAGTTGACGGCGGTTTAGAAGAAGAACCGGAGGAAGTCCGGTCAACTAAACAGTAAGAGAATTTCCCGCTATAACGGTTTTTCGTCTGAGACGGAAACGATAACCCACCACGGCCCAAGCCCAAAAGCCCAGCTGCACCAACGAACAAGCCTTCGTTATCGTGACCACAACCTAACGCCACGTGATCAAGACGTGCACCTTGAAACGACAACGTTTCGGTTGAGAAATCACCGACGGTGAAAGATCCGTCACCGTAAGAAACTTGATAAAGACAAGACTTGCTTCGCCGTGTAACACATTCCGACGAGTCGTCTAATCTCCGACAAAGACGGGACCCACAAGCGACGGTTGCGTAAGATTTGGATCTTTTCGGGTCGAAAACCGGGTCGGATTGGTTATAACATACTTTACAAGGAGAGCATTGAAGCCAAACGACGTCGCTTCCTGTGTCGAGCACCATGTAAGCGTTAGTCGCCGGAGTTCCGACACCTAACCGCATGAAATACTCTCCGCTTCCTTGTGAGAGACCGGAGATAACAGCGCCGCTAAATCCACCGGCGGAGGAGCGTGGAGTTCTTTTTCTGGTGATGTTCCGGCCGGTGGAGACAGCGGCGAGGCTGGTTATGGATTTGACTCGGAGTGAGTCTCGTCGGAGACGGAGATTGAAAAGTTCCGACGGAGATGCGTCGGAGAAGGAAGAGAGTGCATCGACGTGTGATAAATGAACGGAGAGTGAAGTTGTGGATTCGGATAGAGAGTTGGATTCGGATTCTTCAGGCCATGAGAGGGTTGGTGAAGAAGGGAGAGTGTTGACGACGAGTGTTTGGTATTGTGAAGAAGAAGAAGCGACGGTGATGGAGAGAAGAACGGCGACGGAGAAGACGAGGGTATTTAGGACTTTTCGCTCCATTTGGAAATGGAAAACTTAGTGAGAGGATTTAACTAATGTCACATGTAATATAGATAGTGAGTCTATAGTCTTGTCTACTACAAAGCATATAAATGCAAATGAAGCTCGTGTGTGAAAGGTCCTTACTTTACTTTAATTATTATGGACTGACTTATTT